GCAGTTAGGATTTCTATTGTTATGTTTGAGCCCATTGTTGCAGCCACTGCGTCCACCTACTTCTTCTGAGAGCTCCTCGTTTTCCCTTCCCCATGCCCAACACAGCCAAACACTGCCTGGCCCTCACTCCCCTGACAACTATTGTTATGTTTGAGCCCATTGTTGCAGCCACAGTGTCAATCCATATGGTTGAGGACCTTCCTCTTCACTCTCCCTCCATGATGTCCTTCTCCAGGGACTGGTCTCTACTGATGGCATGTCCAAAGTATGTGAGGCAAAGTCTTTCCATCCTTGCCCCTACAGAGCATGCTAGCCATATTTCTTCCAAGAGAGATGTATGAATAAAGTTACACAAATATCATTTAGAAAGAAAATCAGAAGTGGGATTTCCCCCCCAAGTATTAAGACATATTACAAAGTCATAGTAATAGAAAAACAGGGGAAAATAAGCAAATGGAGCAATGCAGGGAAAAGACTTGTCAATGTACAGCCCAAAAGATTACAGCCCATGAAATTATTGGACAGTTCCACCCTGTCATGTAGGGTAATGAAGTTGACATCAACTTGACAGCACACAAGAACAACCACCAGATGAGCTATATATTTAATTGTAAATTTAAATCCATACTGTGGGAGGTAGAGCTGTTATCTGCAAGGTCAATAGTTCAAATCCACCTGCTGCTCCATCTTGGAAACCCCCGGGGGGACTTCTAACCTGCACTATCGGATCTCTCTGAGTCAGAATCGACTCGGTGGCAATGAGTTTTGAGGGTTTTCTTTTTTTGAGACACATAAAATAAATGTTCAAATTCATGAGCAATCTGAGAATTGATAAATGCAAAATATGACAGTTATGAGATTTTACTTTATAGCTGTTATACTTATAAAGTGGCAGGTGTATGTGGAGGTGATCAGGATATTAAACTTTTGTACACTATAATATTACAGGACTTTGGAGAATATCAGTTTTTATAATTCCCAGACCAAAAGTCCCTATGTAAATCACTGTCAAAGCTGACAGTTTACCTTCAGAAATTTTAATGCATAATGATCCTATGATCCAGAAAAATTGTCATGTAATTTGTGCCTAATCATCAGTTCCTTAAGCACATTTCCTGTTTATGATTGCTTGATCTTTAACCTGTATTGTATTTCACAGGCTTACAAGTATATTATACAATGTTTGGTATTGTATAATAGTTGGTGTCTCACTGAAAATCAGCTGACGTTTGTTCAAGCACTGAAAGACGTAGAGAAAAATGATACCAAAGGTATGTCACCCTAAATGTTTCTACATTTATGTTTCATGTAAATATTTAGCAGATATCTAAAAATTTAAAACAGATTAAACATATAATTGATGTTTTATATCTTGTGGCAGTTATAATTTTGTTTATTAATGACATTCCAACCTTTGGTTTCTGAGATCTAAAATTATATGATTGTTTAGATCAATTTTGAAAACATTTTTCCAGTTAGTAAAAATTGATTGATCAAGAAATGTACATGAGACATTTTTATTTGTAAAGTGATTTTTTGAAAAGTGATTGATTTAGTATGACACTGAAATAAGTTCCGAAACCCAGAGGAAATAACCTACTAACAGAGAACTCTGATTTATTTTTCAAAATATAAACTAAATATGCCACCTCTGTATATTCCCTTATATCAGTCTCCATGTATTTATAAAATTACTAAATTAGTGAATGCACGGATGAGTCAGCATCGACTCGGTGGCAATGAGAGGAGAGACAGGGTACAGGTTCAGAGCAGTGTTTCTTCTCAGGAGCCCGTGAGTGGGTCCGACTCAGAGCAAACCCATGTACACAAAACCCTGCCCAGTCCTAGACGGTCCTCAAAATTGTGTCAGTCCGCCTCACTGAGAATCCTCCTATTGTTGCCAACTTTGCCAACCATGAGGTCTGCTCCAGGGACTGGTCTCTCCTGATAACATCTCCAGAGACTGTGCGACAGCCTCACCCCATGACTCCTAAAGCACGTTCTGGCAGCACTTCTTCCAAGCAGCTTTGTGTGTTTCCTGGCAGTCCTTGGCGCCTTCAGTGTTCTTTACCGAGACCGTGACTCAAACGCATCCTTTCCCCTCTGCTCTGCTGCCCTCGTGCGTCTCTCACAGGCGTATGAAGTGGTCGGAAACGCCCTGGCTTGGATCAGGTGCACTTAGTCCTCAGCGTGACAGTTTTGCCCTTCAATGAGATCGTGTGCAGGAGGTTTACCCAGTGAAATCCATCATCTGTCTTCTTGATTGCTGCGTCCATGCTCATTGCTGGTGGGTTCAAGATACAAATCCTTATCAACTTCAAACTTTCCTCTGTCATCATGATGCTGCTTATTGGGCCGGCTGGGAAGTGTTTCCCTTGTGCTGACGTGCGCGCTGTACTGAAGACTGCGGTCTTTGATGTGCGGCAAGTGCTTCTCGTCCTCTTCACGCTCGGCACGCGCGCATCAGTCATCTGCAAATTACAGCTTGTATTGGGTCTTTCTCCAGAACTGATGCCTTTTTCTCCCTTTAATTCAGCTTCTTGATTATAGTCTCAGTGTCCACATTGAATAATTGGGGTGAAAGTATAGCACCCCGACACGCATATTTTCTGATTTTAAACTATACCGTATCCCCTTGTTCTGATTCAAAGGCTGCCTTTTGGTCTATGTGTAGTTGTTGTTGTCTTTATGGAGCACAATTGGGGCTTTGGAATTCTAATTCTTCACAATGTGATCTATAGCTTGTGTGTTAGTCTGGGTACTTTAGAGAAACAAATCCACAGAAACTCATGTATAAGAGAGAGTTTTATATTAAAGTTAAATACACATCAAGAAAACATCCCAATCCAGTGCTGGCCAAGCTCACAAGTCCAACATTAATCTGTGTGTCCAACACTAATCCACAAAGTCCTCCTCCATCTCACAGAACACACGCAATGACACCGACTGCAAGAGGAAAGCGGAATCAGTGAACATGTAAGCATGTCATTGCTGGCAGGGGTCTCCACACGGCTGCTCCAGCACCCAGGGCTGCATCGGGGTAAGTCCATGTGGCTTCTCCTCAGGGATGTCTTGCAGGAAGTGAGCCTTGCCAACCAAGGCAGCTGCACACTGGTCCGACCATCACAAAGTAAGAGACCCGACAACTAGAAAGGCGGGGCTCACTGAGCCATTTATCCCTCCACCCTTGAATTAACCCCACATGTGTTGGCACAGGAAACTACCTAAGCTTGTTATGTTTCCGACAATTGAATGCCATTGCATAGCCAGTAAAACACAAGTAAACATCGTTTTGATATTCGCTTTCATCCAAGATCCATCTGATGTCAGCAATAATATTTCTTGTTCTACATCCTCTTCTAAATCTGCATTTCTGACTGCAACTCCTTTTAAATATCTTCAGCAACATTTTGCTTTTATATGATAATTAATGGTTTGGCTTCATCATTTCCACGTAACTTTAATCACATTTTTTAAATGAGCACTCACGTGTCTCTCCTCCACTTAGTTGGTCAGGCGCCTGTCGTTCAGCTTTTTTGAGCTAGCTAAGTGAGCACTTCCAGTTCTGCATCCATTTGTTGAAACACCTCAGTTGGTACTCTGTCAAGTCCTGAAGCCTCGTGTTCCTGCCAATGCCTTCCGTGCTGCTTGGAGTTCTTGCTTCAGTGCCGTCAGTTCTGGATCACCTGCTACTTCCTGAAATCGTTGAATGGCCACCAATTCCTTTGACTCCATGACTTGTTGTTTCCCTTCCATCTTCTTGTGCTGCGTCTGCTTATTGAACCTTCAATGCAGCAACTCCAAGGGTTGGAGTTTGCCATCAGCATGTTCTTACCTTTCCATTCTTAGAAGTACTTCGGACTTTTGTATTGGCTGTGTGTATATTTGTGACAGATATTCATAGTGAATGATGCCCGTTATCATTTTTCCAGTGTTCTTGTTTCGTTTTATAGGGTTGTTGCCTTTAGTCTAGTCTAGCCTACCACTGCCACAACTTCTGCTTTCATCTTTCCCTCTCGCCTTCTTCCTTTCCTCCCTCTTCCTGCTCTCTTCCTCCTCTTCGTAACATGTCTGCACCTCACCTTCTGATTTCAACTTCTGCAATCACTTTACTTCCTCTCTCGCATTCAGCAAATAGCGTCACACTGGGGTTTTCTAGACTTAGACTATGTTTTCTTTTAATATGTGTTTGCCTCCTTGATAACTGTATTTGAGGTCTTACTACTTCTATGTTTATATTATACTTTCTCTATTTTTAAATCTTAATTCACCATTTTTGCATAACCTGCCTCGTCTTTGTTTCACCAAGGTTATTATATGTATAATTGTGTCTTGGGGGCAGGAGTATTTGTTTCATTGTGACTAAGTGTACCGTTGATTTTTATCTTTCTATGAGTAGTTGTTACAATTTTTAGTTTAAGAAATTAGGTTCATAATATATCCATTTCTCTTAATTTACTGAATTTAGAAATTCTCAATTCACTCCCATTAAAGTATTGGTTTCTTAGACATTGACGTGTTAAAACCATCTCCTTCTTTTTCTTAATTCTCTATTTTTAAAATAGCTTATTTTATTTTACTGCCATTGAGAAAAATGCAGAGCATAACAGAGCAATTGAACAATTTCTACATGGACAATTCAGGGACATTGATTATGTTACTCCAGCTGAGCACCGATTCTCACCCTCCTTTTCTATATTGTTCTTCCTCTGTAGCCATCAGCTCACTGACCCCTGGGGTTCCTTTATCATCTTTTTAGTTGTCCTTGTCAAACTGATTCCATACAGATCATTCATAAAAGAGTACAGAGTTTGCAGCAATCGTTCCTTACTAGCTAAACTAAATGATGGTTTGATTTTGCGTGTACTTTGCATCATATTTTCACATTGTGATTTGTAACTATAATTCCCTGAATTCCATAGCCTTAATTTCATATATACCAGAATTTATGTTTCGCTATAGAAGTCCTTATGCTAGCGCTTCTCCACCGCCCAGCCTCATATTTTGGTTGACTGCATGTCACCATGAAGTCTTCTTTTTCAAAGTCTAATGGATCCTGGTTTCTGTTCAACCATCTGTCTTTGCATTTAGATGGCACCATGCCCATGTGTACAATCCTTGGATCAGGCACGTGTCTGCTTGTTTCCTGAGAAATACGTAAACTCGCTGCTATCTAATGGATTCCTAATCGTAGCAGCTCTATAGGACAGGGGAAAACAGCCCTCTTGGGGTTTCTGGGCCTGTAACTCTGTATAGGGGCAGAAAGCCCCGTCTTTTTCCCTGGGAGTGATTGATGGGCTCGAACTGCTCACATCTGAGTTAGCAGCTCAAGCATCAGCCACGCCCCCACCAGAACCCCTTTCAGAAATACCACACGACTGAATGTTGAGGTTCGTTGGCCGCTGTGGAGGAGTCCTGGCAGTACAGTGTTCATCTGCTTACTGCAAGATCAGCAGTTGGAAGTCACCAAAGAAAGACGAGTCTCTCCTCCCTTAACGAGTTTCGGTCTTGAAAACCCACGGGGGAAGTTCTACCCTCCCTTAGAGGGTCGCTGTTTGCCTGAGTCAACTCCATGTTGCTGTGGAACAATCTGAGGCAAACATGATTCTCTTCCTTGCTTTTCTATCCAGATAGTTATGGAATTTTGTCGATCCATATGTTTCCTCTGGATGTTCTTTAACTAGATACATTTATCCCCAAAATTGTTTTTCCTAAGGTCATTTCTCTGACATAGATGTCATTACTTGTTCATTAAATGTTGTTTTTAATTTCTATTTTAAACACCTTTGTTCTTGTTCTGGACATGAATATCTATGCATAGGCCCTATTTTGATATAGTTTTATTCCTTAATGATCACAGCATGAGGACAGTTTTATCTTGACCAGCTACTTGCAAAGAAGTAATTTTGGAAGGAGCTATGGTAAGGAAATGAGAATAGAAGATATTTTCTATTTGAATTTATTTCCTCCTAACTCTATTCTATGCAATCTCTATTGCTCTAGCCCCTGAAGACACACATTTGGGCCCTTAGCCCAAAGGAAATGCATTTTGCTGACAATTGGGAACACTCAACATGGGAGACTGTGTTTCTGAGTTCCCCCAGCTGTCTGTAAGAAGCAGTGGCAAAGTACTGCCTCCCGTTCATGCCTCTCGTATCTTCCTACTGCAGAAAAGAACTGGAGTGCCATCTCTATACTAGTGGTTCTTGCTTTTCTTTTTCTTTTTTGGTCTCAGGCTGACTTCTATACTCTTAAAAATTGCTGAGGATCT